CCACAACCCTGGCGTTGCAAGCGCCATGCTCTACCAACTGAGCTACAGGTGAATTAAAGAGATAGTTCACCCAAATTCAAAACATTTCATATTTTTTTCCTTACCCTGTAAGCAGTCTTTAGACAAGAAGAGACAGCAATCCATGATTTGGTTTTGTTTACCTGGATGCTCTCATCAAATGCTAACATTGGTTTTTGGACTAAAATGCTGAAGGTGACGGAAGCTATAGGTGACAAAACCAAAGAATGGATTGCTGTCTCTCCTTGTCCAAAGACTACTTACAGAGTAAGGTAACCAATATGTAATTTTTGTAATTTCCTGTCGAGTATCAACAATATTTTCCTGTAGCTAACTCATCTTACTTTTGGTAACAATTGTGACCGACCGCCTTGATTTGGTCTTATGTAGCAAAATTTGAAATTGTGTTTTTTCCATTGGATAAAAGCAGAGACACAGAGCTACAAAATGGTATATCATACTCTGCATTTGAGGAACAATCGGAAAGTAATTCTGCTTTGAAAGTTGATCAAATGTATGCACTCACTAACTGTAAGTCGCTCTGGATGAGAGCGTCTGCAAAATTACTAAAATGTAAATGTAAAACAAACTTGTAACCTCACTATTGAGAAAATGGCCTTTAAATGTTTTGATACCTACTGGAGAGCTTTTCTTTGTCTACACCCATTCAGCATCATTCACACCCTCTTAAGCTTAGCCCCACCCATCTCTTTAAGGGTTGATCCGAGCGTTCTGTCCTAACAACAACAGTCAAGCACCCAAGCTAACTTGCTAACGTTGGCTAGCTTGCTAGATACTTCCAGACACAAATGAGAGAACAGCTCACTGACCATTGTACACGCCCTAGCAGAGCTGGTTAGGCTGTTCTTATGTTATCCAGAGCGCTGGTGACCACAACTATGCTGCTGGCAACAATTTATGCTTTTTGCCAACGTTTACTGACACTGGCCATATTCAACGGGTGTTGAGCATTCGTAAATGCGTCAGTTATTCTGCGCTCTAGCACACTCAGACGAGAATGCTCTGAAATCGGAGTAGATAGCCAGAGCAAATTTACCAGCTACGTCTATCAACAGTTGTCGCTGTGATATTCTATTGAAATGGTTACTTGCATAGTGGAGTCTTTTGTTAAGACATGTAGCTAGCTAGCTAGGTAAACAATTAACCATAATCCCAACTCATGACGTTACTACCCTGCATGAATCTGCAGGTAGCTAACCAACCAGGTTCAATGTTAGCTAGCTAACATTAGGCTATAACTAGCAAAGCAAATGGCTCTGAGATACGAATAATAAGATCATAGACGTAATGTTAGGTAGCGAGCCAGCCAGCTAACGTTAGCTAGCTTGCTAACAGTACACTTTAACTCGAAATGATACGACTTTCTGTCAAAATTAGAAACGTGTAATATCTGAAAATGTAGCTATCTAGACTATCTTACCCGTATACATCATGGTTGGACGCTTCTCCCTGTCACGGATGCCATGGTTTCCCTTAGTTTGAAGATGTAATCCGGATACATGTGTTTTCTCCATCTCCTTAGTTATCATACTCTAATTCCACTGATTTCAAAACTCTGTCCTCCAGAAAGTGGAGAGCAACACTTATGCAGTTCTACTACGTGATAAAAAAAATTCAAAGCCAGGATTACCTACACGTATTGACCAGCTCAAATAGACAGAAGCGTGCTATATGGCAGACCAATCCGAACTCATCTCTCGGCATGTCCAGCCCACTCATTATCTCAGCCAATCATGGCTAGCGGGAAGGTTGCTGTCTTTTTCTGTGGCTAAACCAACTAGGCTCGTAATTTAACAATTGTATTCGTATTTACAGATGGCATACAAGTCTGTTATTAAGGCACACATGTTCCAGAAGGCATTTCTGCCAAAAAACGCATTCTGTACTAAAAAAAAAAAGAAAAAAAAGGAGACGCAACCAAGGCCTAAAAACCAACCCTCTTGGGATTTCCCCTGCTCACACCTATCTATCCCTGTTGTCCATCCATCTTCCACTAACTGTCCATGTTATCCCCCATCCTTCCTGTCCTTCATTATCTTTCCCTCTCTCACACATGCAGTTTCTCTTCCATCCTCAACTGGCGATCCCTGTCACCGGCCTATTTCACATCTCTCCATTCACGTCAGTCCCTGATTACATACCTCACTAATCAGCATCTGTCTCCTCACTCTATCACACACACAAACACACACACACACAATGTGAGGGGTTGTGGGAAACATCAAGCCAGCCTGCGTCAAGCATTTCCTGGATAAACACTAATGATGTCAACAAAGACACACACAGGCGCTGTGTTTTTGCCCCTTGTGTTGGGATCAGCAGATAGGATATACTGCTGTGAAACAAACATGGTCTCATTAGAATATGTCAAAATAGTCATATTTAACCATTACGTAGTAATATGTCACCTAAACTGACATATTACTTATATTACTTACTTATATGTTACTTATAGTAACCAGGTTTCCATCCAACCATTTCATGCGGATGAATTACCTAATGCAAAAATCAGCAATTTTGTTGGTAACATTTCCCCAATGTCGACAAAACAAAATACTCTAGAGAAGGTGGGATAATTAATTTGTTGGTGAAATAGATCATGATAATCGATGTTGAAACGCATCATGTCGAAGTAAACTTGGAGTCACGCGATGATATATTACATTCTACCACAACCACGATGTGGAAAAGCATGCAGAGTTTAAAGGCAGATGAAATAAGTTATGATGAACTACATAACCACCATAAGTTATGAACTTATGAAATAAGTTAAGTGCACGGTGATAAGCTTCATGCAAAATTCCATCGGTAGAGTTAAATGCGATGGAAACATATTGAACTTCAGTTTCTTTTATCCGTTACACAGAAACTTTAAGCGCGAAAGTGCTTTCATGTGCATTACGTCATCACGCAAAGCTTTTTTTATCAGAAAGTCAGTTTGATGGAAACATACTTCTGGTGGAAAAATGCACATTTAATTTATTGTGGATTTGAGAATATTTGCATGAAAATCTGTCACCAATTGTATGGAAACCTAGCTAGTGATCCACTTTAAACCTAATAGTGACATATTACATACATTTAACTTAGAATGACATATTATTTAAAGTGCCTTGCAAACGCATTCAGACCTCTTGGATTTCTTCACATTTTATTGTGTTACAAAGTGTGATTCAAATGGTTTAATTACCATTTTTTGTCAACAATCTACACAAAATACTCTAAGGTCAAAGTGGATAAATAAAAATGTATAACTAAAATATAGTTGTTGCATAAGTATTCAGCCCCTTTGGGCGGCAGGTAGCTTAGTGGTTAAGAGCGTTTTGCCAGTAACCGAAAGGTCACTGGTTCTAATCCCCGAGCCGACGAGGTGAAAAATCTGTCGATGTGCCCTTGAGCAAGGCACTTAACCCTAATTGCTCCTGTAAGTCGCTCTGGATAAGAGCGTCTGCTAAATGACCAATTATTATTTATTTGTTTAGGTAAGCCTAAATTAGTTCCGGAATAAAATGTGGCTTAACAAATCACATAATAAGTTACATGGACTCACTCTTTTTGAAATAATAGGGGTTGACATTATTTTTGAATGACTAACCCTTCCTCTGTCCCCCATAGATAGAACATCTGTAAGGTCCCTCAGTCAAGTATTGAATTTCAAGCACAGATTCAACTACAAAGACCAGGGAGCTTTTGAAAAGCCTCATAAAGAAGGGCAGTGATTGGTAAATCGGTAACAATAACAAAACAGACATTGAATATCTCTTTAAGCATGGTCAAGTTAATCATTTTGCTGTGGATTATATATTAAACAACCCAGACACATCAAAGATATAGTCGTCCTTCTGAACTAAGCTGCAGGACAGGAATGAAACTGCTCAGGGATGTTACCATGAGGCAATTGGTGATTTTAAAACATTCAATGACTGTGATGGGAGAAAACTGAGGATGGATCAACAACATTGTAGTTACTCCACAATAATGACCTAAATGACAGAGTGAAAAGAAGAATACAAATATACAGAATAAAAATATTCCAAAACATGCATCTTGTATGCAACAAGGTACTAAAGTAAAAAAACACAGCAAAGGAATACACTTTTTGGCCTAAATGCAAAGCCTTATGTTTGGGGCAAATCCAACACAACACATCACTGAGTAACTGCCTCCTTATTTTCAAGCATTGTGGTGCCTGCATCATGGAATGGGTATGCTTGTTATCGGCAAATACTGGGGAGTTTTTCAAGATAAAAATAAACGGGCTGGAGCTAAGTACAGGCAAAATCCTAGAGAAAAACCTGCTTCAGTCTGCTTTACACTAGAGAATGGGAGAGGAATTCACCTTCAGCTGGACAATAAACTACAACACAAGGCCAAATCTACACTGGAGTTGCTTACCGTGAATGTTCCTGAGTGGCCAAGTTACAGTTTTAACTTAAATCTGCTTGAAAATCTATGGCAAGACTTGAAAATTGCTGTCTATCCATGATCCCCAACATCTTGACAGAGCTTGAAGAATTTTGAAAATAATAGCGGGAAATATTACACAATCCAGGTGTGCAAAGCTCTTAAAGACACCCAGAAAGACTGACAGCTGTCATCAATGCCAAAGCTGTTTCTAACATGTATTGACTCAGGGAGCTGAATACTTATGCAACGACTATATTTTAGTCATTTAATTTCTATGAATCTTCTTCAACTTTCACAGAGTATTTTGTGTAGATTGTTGACAAAAATCTATTTTTATCTTACTTTGTAACACAATCAAATGTGAAGAAATCAAAGGGGTCTGAATACTTTTGCAAGGCACTGTATATGTCACTATATAGTGATATATTCGTTATATGTCACATAGCATAGTTAGGGTCAGAGACAAGTTTAATGGTTAGGATTAAGATTCCACAATGTGTTCTAGATAGGAAAGAGGAAAGAGACCATGTAGACTTCATCCATCCAGACCCACCTTGAAGATGTCTGCTTCTGTAATGGTCCTTCGGTTTGGTGGGATGGGCTCGGGCGTTGCCATCACACTTTGGTTGCTCATATCTGTGATACACAATGTAAAGAACTATTAATGTTGTTCAGTTCACTCATGGATAAATGAACAATGTTATAATTCATCCCCCATCTCCCCATGCAATCAAATGTCAGCAGTTTAAAGTCCCACTTAATCTAGAAATATTACTGTGGCTAAATACTTTCTCCGCAACTTGGAGAGAGGGTGAGAAGCTGCTCCCAAAACAGAAAGGGATAGTATGTGTGAGAGAGAGAGAGAGAGAGAGAGAGAGAGAGAGAGAGAGAGAGAGAGAGAGAGAGAGAGAGAGAGAGGAGAGAGAGAGAGGAGAGAGAGAGAGAGAGGAGAGAGAGAGAGAGAGAGAGAGAGAGAGAGAGAGAGAGAGAGAGTGTGAAAGAGGAACAGTGAGAGTGAGATGGGAGAAAAAGAGTGAAAGAGAAAGGAAATTGTGTGTGAGAGAGAGAGAAAAATAGGGAAACAGAGAGCGTGGGACACAGGGACGTCTTTCATGGCCTCCCTTGGAAAACGCGAGAGAGCGGAGCCCCGATTGCCACTGCTGTGCCATGCGTCCTGGCCAAGAACAGACTAATGCGCTGTCTGGCGCCCTGCCTGGGGCCTTGTTAATCCGATACCCAGCTCTGCATCGTTCCCCCCGCTCATTAAAACTGTACCCGCACGCATGCCCCCTCTTTGCCAGCCTCGCCAACCCCTGACCCCCACACTCAGCCCCGTCAACCCCTCAATCACACACACAGCAGTGCCCATGATGGACCGCTTAGCTACTGGTGACTGGCACTCAGTTTAATGTGTGATTGGACTCTATAGGTAATGTGGATGTAAGGGCATTATGTATGTACCTGCATGTGCGTTGGTATGTACTTGCATCTGTACACTTGGAAGCTTCAGGACGTACACTATACAAAGCAGGACACAAAGCAGGGTACCCAATAAGACGATATACCGTTAGCCTACTGTAATACAGGTTGAAAACTTCCAGCTCCAGCCCCCTGTCAGGTGTATTGTAGCTGTACTGTCAAGGTGGGCAGTGCCAGTGTGGGCAGTGCCAGTCTCTCACCTGGTGGAGGTGCCAGGGATGGGCCGCCCTGTGTCCACCAGCACGCACCAGCAGTACCCAGTGGACGGGTGACACTGGACAGGCTTGTAGAGGCCCCCTTGGGCACAGTCGGGCACGAACACCGCCTCGTTCTTGTGCTGCCGCGCTTCCTCCTGGGCCGACTGCTGCTCCTGGTCACATGACGAGGCTGAGGGATCAGGGGTAAGGGGAGGAGCAGAGAGAACAGATCACCACATCTCAAGTCAGCGCAGTGAAGATGGTTCACCTTGGTAAACACACACCCACACACAGTATATCTGGGGAAAATTCATTTAAACACACCATTGTTATAAAACAAACGCGTGGTTTCTTTTCTCTTGACATTGCTCCCATCCCTATCCATATTCTGTGACTAACTGCAGCGTCAGACCCCAGACCCCACAGAAGATGAACCAGAAGGTAGCAGAAGTAAAACAAACGTGTGCTGACAGACATGGTCACCATGTTCCTAGCTCCTTGCCAACTTTGCAGTATTTTGTTTTGTATTGTTGTTATTTCTTACATTATTACCTACAGACGGAAATAACTTTTGGATATTAGATCAACGGTCGCTCACCAGCATTTCAACCAGAAATTTGACTTTCCTGAATTGAATCCTTTATTCGTACCCCCGAGGCATTTCCCCTCATCCCAGGGGCTGCTCCAAGATGCCGCCGACAGAGAAGAGGAATATGGAGTGGGCTTTTAGTCTGACTCAGGAGGCGGTTATACCATCCACCGCTTCCGAGTATATTACTCGCTAATGTTCAGTCCCTAGACAATAAAATAGACGAGCTCAGGGCGAGGATCTCATTCCAGAGAGACATCAGGGACTGTAACATACTCTGTTTCACGGAATCATAGCTCTCAACGGATATACTATCCCAGTCCATACAGCCAGCAGGGTTCTCTGTACATCAAGCAGACAGGAAGAAAGAACTCTCCAGAAAGAAGAAATGCAGAGGTGTATTTCATGATTAACTACTCATGGTGTGATTGTGGTAACGTACAGGAACTCAAGTCCTTTTGTTCTCTCGATTTGGAAAACCTCACAATCGAATCCCTAGAGAATTGTTTTTGGTAATCGTCACGGCCGTGTATATACCCCCTCAAGCCGACACCGCGACGGCTTTCAAGGAACTACACTGGACTTTGTGCCAACTGGAAACTGCATATCTTGAGGTTGCATTTATTGTAGCTGGGGACTTTAATAAAGCAAGTCTGAGGAACCACTACCGAAGTTTTATCAACACATTGCCTGTGCTACTCGCTCAATAAATATTATTGACCATTGCTACTCCCTCTTCTGGGACGGCTACAAGGCCCTCCCCTGCCCTCCGTTCCGCAAATCAGATCACACCTCCATTTTACTCCTCCTTTTTCTATAGGCAGAAACTTAAACAGGAAGTACCCGTGGTAACGTTGGTCTGACCAATCGGAATCTATGCTTCAAGATTGTTTTGATCGCGCGGATTGGGATTTGTTCCGGGTTGCCTCTGAGAATAACATTGACGTATACACTGACTCGGTGGCTGAGATCATCAGGAAGTGCATAGAGGATGTTGTTTCCACTGTTACTATAAGAACTTACCCAAACAAAAAGCGTGTTAACCCTCGCAAGGCTGCAGACCCAGATGGCATACTTAGCCGCGTCCTCAGACCTGCTGGCTGGAATGTTTACGGACATATTCAATCTCTCCCTATCCTAGTCTGTTGTCCCCACTTGCTTCAAGATGTCCACCATTCTTTTAGGGAAGGGCATTTTACCTTTTTTGACTGTTTGAGTACTCACATTATTTTTTATTCGAGCACTCAAGTACTCAAATACATTTTTAGAAGACTGAGAAGAAATGTGCATATGTATCTATATGCAAACAGTGAGCAACAATGCCTAATTTATCATAACTATTACAGACAACAAATCCTAATTGGTAAATTGCCCCATATATATATATTGTCAATAAAAAAACAAGTGCCATTTAATATGTGTTTATTGAAACTATAATATCAACTGTTTAAGATTGTGGAACACAATCTTCAAAAAGGTAAAAACCTCAGCAGTGTGGCGCTTGCCTGTAGAAGCCTATGGCTGTGCAATGGCATAGCCTTGTTTTGTTAATTTTGCAGACAAGATGCTCTTATTTCCCGAGCCCTTATCACAGTCAAGACACCTATTTTATAAGTAAAAAAACATGATGTAATATAACAGAATACAATAGAACAAAATAGTGCGAAGTGATTCACGTCTCGCTTCTGGAACAGTTCTTCTTAGAGTGATGATTTGAAACGGGGCTCAATTTGGCAAGTTGAAAGACCAATTTTTCAGGGTTACAAACCATAATCAAACAAAAGTCTTCTTTTCGATATACAGATGTTCGATAGAGTTTATTATGCCTGTTCCTTGGAATATTCTAAATGGATAAAAAAATTATACATTGAACACTGCATGGGGATGAATTATGGCCAGGACATCTGTTTCGTGAGTAGGCCTAGACTTAATGATTCTGATGAAAATACGCTCTTTGTCTTTATCAAACTAATGTTTTTGCATATGTTCAGTGTGGAACCGGTCTATGTTTAGGAGGGTAATAGCTTAGGCTAACCAATTCTAAATGCCACTAGCAGATCGTATGTTTGTCACTAACATTAGTTACCACAACCACAAAGTTATAAACCCTCTACAGTGAGGGAAAAAAGTATTTGATCCCCTGCTGATTTTGTAAGTTTGCCCACTGACAAAGACATGATCAGTCTATAATTTTAATGGTAGGTTTATTTGAACAGTGACAGACAGAATAGCAACAAAAAAATCCAGAAAAAAAACGCATGTCAAAAATGTTATACATTGATTTGCATTTTAATGAGGGAAATAAGTATTTGACCCCTCTGCAAAACATGACTTAGTATTTGGTGGCAAAACCATTGTTGGCAATCACAGAGGTCAGACGTTTCTTGTAGTTGGCCACCAGGTTTGCACATATCTCAGGAGGGATTATGTTCCACTCCTCTTTGCAGATCTTCTCCAAGTCATTAAGGTTTCGAGGCTGACGTTTGGCAACTCAAACCTTCAGCTCCCTCCACATATTTTCTATGGGATTAAGGTCTGGAGACTAGCTGGGCCACTCCAGGACTTTAATGTGCCTCTTCTTGAGCCACTCCTTTGTTGCCTTGGCCATGTGTTTTGGGTCATTGTCATGCTGGAATATCCATCCACAATGCCCTGGCTGAGGGAAGGAGGTTCTCACCCAAGATTTGATGGTACATGGCCCCGTCCATCGTCCCTTTGATGCAGTGAAGTTGTCCTGTCCCCTTAGCAGAAAAACACAGCCAAAGCATAATGTTTCCACCTCCATGTTTGACGGTGGGGATGGTGTTCTTGGGGTCATAGGAAGCATTCCTCCTCCTCCAAACACGGCGAGTTGAGTTGATGCCAAAGAGCTCGATTTTGGTCTCATCTGACCACAACAGTTTCACCCAGTTCTCCTCTGAATCATTCAGATGTTCATTGGCAAACTTCAGATGGCCCTGTATATGTGCTTTCTTGAGCAGGGGGACCTTGCGGGCGCTGCAGGATTTCAGTCCTTCACGGCGTAGTGTGTTACCAATTGTTTTCTTGGTGACTATGGTCCCAGCTACCTTGAGATCATTGACAAGATCCTCCCGTGTAGTTCTAGGCTGATTCCTCACCGTTCTCATGATCATTGCAACTCCACGAGGTGAGATCTTGCATGGAGCCCCAGGCCGAGGGAGATTGACAGTTCTTTTGTATTTCTTCCATTTGCGAATAATCACACCAACTGTTGTCACCTTCTCACCAAGCTGCTTGGCGATGTTCTTGCAGCCCATTCCAGCCTTGTGTAGGTCTACAATCTTGTCCCTGACATCCTTGGAGAGCTCTTTGGTCTTGGCCATGGTGGAGGGTTTGGAATCTGATTGATTGATTGCTTCTGTGGACAGGTGTCTTTTATACAGGTAACAAACTGAGATTAGGAGCACTCCCTTTAAGAGTGTGCTCCTAATCTCAGCTCGTTACCTGTTTAAAAGACACCTGGGGGTCAAATACTTATTTCCCTCATTAAAATGCAAATCAATTTATAACATTTTTGACATGTGTTTTTCTGTATTTTTTTGTTGTTATTCTGTCTCTCACTGTTCAAATAAACCTACCATTGAAATTATAGACTGATCATTTCTTTGTCAGTGGGCAAACGTACAAAATCAGAAGGGGATCAAATACTTTTTTCCCTCACTGTACATGTTCGCTTCTTAAAATCAGATTTTAAACCTAACCCTAACCTTAACCAAACTGTTAGCGTTATGCCTAACCTTAAAAAAAAAAAAAGCATTTTCATGCATTTTTACGATATAGTCAATTTTGATTTTGTGGCTGTGGTAACTAGTGACAACCGCAAAGTACCCTAAATGGAAAATGGAAAATATTCAAAATCTACAGCTCATTGTTGGAACACAGATATCCCTACTTCAGTCAACAACTCTATTTAGAAATTGTGCTAAAACTGTCGTAATTTGGCAAGGAATGTAGCTTGTGTATCCCATCAGTTAGATCCAGTTGAAGTCGGAAGTTTAGATACACTTAGGTTGGAGTCATTAAAACTTGTTTTTCAACCACTCCACTAATTTCTTGTTAACAAACAATAGTTTTGGCAAGTCGGTTAGGACATCTACTTTGTGCATGACACAAGTAATTTTTCCAACAATTGTTTACAGACAGATTATTTCACTTATGATTCACTGTATCACAATTCCAGTGGGTCAGAAGTTTACATACACTAAGTTGATTGTGCCTTTTCACAGCTTGGAAAATTCCAGAAAATGATGTCATTGCTTTAGAAGCTTCTGGTAGGCTAATTGCCATCATTTGAGTCAACTGAAGGTGTACCTGTGGATGTATTTCAAGGCCTACCTTCAAACTCAGTGCCTCTTTGCTTGACATCATGGGAAAATCAAAAGAAATCAGCCAAGACCTCAGAAAAAAATTTGTAGACCTCCACAAGTCTGGTTCATCCTTGGGAGCAATTTCTAAACGCCTGAATGTACCACGTTCATCTGTACAAATAGTACGCAAGTATAAACACCATGGGACCACACAGCCATCATACCGCTCAGGAAGGAGACGCATTCTGTCTCCTAGAGATGAATGTACTTTGGTGCGAAAAGTGCAAATCAATTCCAGAACAACAGCAAAGGACCTTGTGAAGATAATGGAGGAAACGGGTACAAAAGTTTCTATATCCACAGTAAAACGAGTCCTATATCGACATAACCTGAAAGGCCGCTCAGCAAGG